AACCACGCAGTATCCCCTTGTTCTGTCCAAACAACTGCCTCTTGATCTTAATATAGGGAGGTAAATACCAAAAGAGCCAGCTAAATATGTTGAAAGTTGTTGTCTGGGAAGCAGGAGAAAGGGGTAGGGGAGGACTGATGAAGGAACTGCTGTTTCTCCATAAGAAGCTTGTGGAACAACTGATTTTTTAAACAATGGGAATGTAAAACTGATTAAGAAAAATAAAACACTTAGTGATGACAAAAAGTAAAACAAACAACAATTGTAATCTGTCGCAAATTGTCAAAACTAATCAGTAGTAAGCAGGCACCATTTCTGGCTAATAAAAGGGTGAAAAGCCAGTTGTTGCAGGGCTTGTGGATGGGCCCATACAACACCACTCTCATACGATACAAGGTTTTGACTTACATCTGAATCACAACTTACATCTTAATTTTCGAGGCCAAATTTTCATGTTGGTTTGACTTTTCCCTGCTACCTCTTGATGTTTCTGGGCCACTTTTCTTACACACCTCCCCTCTCCTCTCCAGCTGTCAGTTTAAGTATGTTCAGAAAACACAAACTACATTAAATATTAATCCTGGCAACACAATGACAAAAAGATAAATCCATTATCCTCTCTCCCCACAAATCACCTAATAAATTTCAGAATAAATTTTAGATATCTATACCCCTATGTCCCATGATAAATGAAAATGATAGAAGACTGACTTATTGATTTGAGAAAATGACGTCTTAGGTCCTTGAATGTGTTTTATCATATACTATAATTTGTGTACCAAAAGGTCGGCAGTTCGAATCTACCCGGCGCTCCCTGGAAACCCTATGGGGCAGTTTTACTCTGTCCTATAGGGTTGTTATGAGTCAGAATTGACTGAACAGCAACGGGTTTGGTCTTTGGTTTTATAATCTGTGTAAATCAGGCCAAGCTGTTCCTGTGTCAGTGATTTTATTTCTTGGTTTAAGAGGGAATCACCATCCTGATACCCATGCAAAGAGCAATATTAGTGCTGGCAACTAATCACTGGATTTCCAGTTGTTAAATACTGACAGGAGGCTGGCTCACAAAGCAGAATTTTAATTCTGTTGAGAAAGGGACCCTTCACAGCGTGCTCAAGATGAGTGTGAAATATCTATCTCAAAGGCAGGCCTAACTTATTAGCTGCAATCTGAAGAGCTGTACCTCCTTAATTTACAGAGAGAAAGCTATAATTATTTTGAAAATAGGAATTACATATATCATATGAAAGATCAGAATGTATAATTAGCAAATTTTACATTTACACTTCTTTTTATTCTTGTGAAAATATATATAACACAACATTTGCTGATTCAACATTTTTCACATGTACAATTGAGCGAGATCAATTACATTAATATACTTTTATTATGAAAGCTAATCATGTTAGTCTAAGTCAGGTTGAGTTACTGGCTAAATCTGACTTCTTGGAATGGTGTACAGAGCGTGGGAGATGTAAACGTGCTTATGAAGTACAAACACACTTTGATTACTCATGGCTATTAAAGGTCTCATTTAATGCATAACCTCTTCCTTTAAAAATTAGCTATAATAATTAAGGTGTAAAAAGAAGAATGTATGTATGTATATGCGAGTATGTATATGTGTGTGTTTCCTTCTTTCCTTCCTTCTCACTATGACTTGGGATTTTCCAAAAAGACAAATATTTTACTGTGTAAGAACACATGGTAGTTATCTTCTAGAAGTCACCTCTGAATTTTTCCAAGGGACAGCATAAAAACCTAGCAAAGCCACCATGCCTTTTTGATCTTTGAAAAGAGGTAACCATTGAATAGGGAAAATGCTAACATGGCTTCCAGGTTAACCTGATTATGAATAAATAACTTATGTTTCATACTCTAAGAACAGATCTTCCTATAGTTAAAAATTAAACTGCTTCAACTAGAAAGTGTTTCTTGAAGTGTTATAATTTCAATATTAACGAGCCATTTATTGTATCTAATACAACTGTCATAGTATATTTATGATTAAATGTTATAATCACCAGTACCCTAGAACTATTATATAACCTCCCCTATATCGTACATTGGTTTAGCACTTGGCAGTCACAAATAGAACTTCAATGACCTCATACCAACTCTGCAAAGTAGACAAATTTTACCCTGAAGCCCAGTCCAAATGATTTTGCTTACAACAACATTATGTTGCAGTTGTACCAGTATAAAAAGGCTCACCAGATATTGAAAAACAAGGCATACCTATA